TGTGAGCACACATGTTTACCAAGGTGGGCAATTTTCGACCCAGTGTTTGCGAATTGTCTAAATCGTGGTCACTTCACGCTAGGTTATTCAGGGACGTCTCTCCAGCTACACCTACGAAAAGTTTTCTCTGTTAAGAATTCGAAAACAAGTACTTGAGCGCCTCAATCCTCTAATCGCCTCCGTTCTTATCACTGATGGCCGAGGAACGCCGCGGAAGCTCGCGAACATCTTTTATTGAACAGGGAGCGTTTCAGAAAAACATAATCGCAGAACGCTGCGCAAACATATTTATCACGCCCCATTCTATATCTCATTTGAATCTTTCAGCTTTGACAGCACCAGATTTTTTTCCCCGGGTCGACCACAAACGCATTAGCATTACAGTGATATGTACATACGCATGGCGGTTTACTAGCACTGCTACTCTCATTCAAGCATCTCGATTATGGTAAGTTAGAAAGATTGCAATAAGACCGGTTGATACTTGGCGCTGATCGATACAAACCATTGACACCATCTGCAGATACTCCGATTGCCTATACCATGTACGTATGGTTAGTTTTATTCCCGTATACCGCTTAGTGTAGCTAGATTCCCTCATAGCAAGTCAAGACTATGTCAAGCTCTCCCTGAAATCCGTTGACATTGGGAAGTATTGTCTCCATGATTAACGGCTGTTCCAATACTTAGCGTAGGCGGATTGGCAATGGAATTGGTGTCGCACAGCACATACCATTTCCGTACCTGCAAGTGCCCATCAAACTCAATCCGCACTTTTCCCTCATCACCGTGGCTGATTGATCTTCTTTTGAGAGGACGCCGTATCCTCCCGCATCATCTACCTAAACTCGCCGAGGGGTAATGTAGATGCGCCGATAGTCTCGGCTTGTCCGCTGTCATAGCTTGCTCGTCGCGAACTATGTGTCGTCCGCCCCCAAATCGGCAGCGCTCTGCCCTCCGCGCTGCACGGCAGTTCGAGCCTCGTGGCTTCTCGGGATTAGATAAATGCGACGCGTCTTGCTGATCGCGTCCTCTAACCTCCCTGGCCCGACTCGTCCTCCCCTTCGAACTGTGCTTACCCCGAGATATCATAACAATGGGGACTATTAGCCCTGAGTGCGCCACACAGTATAGATTATATTTCGCGGTCTCTCATCTTCGATACTACGTATGCATAGATACGGTCCAATCCTGCTCGCTGTGTGTTTTAACATGATTCTGTATGGGGTGAGCCATTCAATGTTTTCTTAGTCAAAGCCGTATTAACCCAATGTTTCGATAGCTTTTGATCTCTCAGGTTTGACTGCATTATTGTTTTTGAGAGCGCACCGTTGACCACGGCCGCGCTGCAGACATATTCATATTATCTCGTCTATAGAAAGTAAGTGATACGTTTTCCTGTCAAGTCACTGCATTCATCTTGGGAAAATGGGATAAAGGACTGATCCCAATATAATTAAATTCTTGGTATGTCTTTCTCATGGGCCTTATTTTCACACTAACTCACCAATGTTCAAGGTTGTCTATGTCCTCCTCGTGGAATCAGCGCACACGGCGCTTACAATATACATGGTATATGAACCCCTCGTTGTCCACTTCGGTAGGGCGAATTTTATTGCATGTCCATGAAATATTAATCTCGTACTCAGGAAACATCCAAAATGTCAACATCTATCCTCGTGGTACGCCTTCACCATTCTTAATCCCAATCAAAATAGTCATCTGATACACATGCTATTTAGCACTTTGTCCCAGTGAGTACTTACGTCGTTAGCTCGGCGATTTTCACTGAATACCCAGCTCTGTTCTATAGTTGTCGCCCTCATGGTGCGTACAATGACACAAGTCCTTTATTTAGCCTCACGCTATGCCACTTGCAGGGTGCGCTGGCTCTCCCTGCGCAATCGTTTATATCCTGGAAGATTGTTCGCCTGCAGCAGTCCTTTTGGATCGGCAGTGTCATTGGCATGTTCTCCGCTGTGTCATTTGGTGAGAATCTTTTCGGTCCGATGATCCTCGGCTAAACAGTTCTCGTGGGCGAGCAGCGGGGAGTATCCTCTCGGCTTTCCAGATAAGAGAATACCAAAAGTTCACCGAAAAGCGCGCCTTGACCTTTTCAGCGGTGCTGTGGCTTGCGCCTGGCGCCGCGGCCGATATCATCATCGCCTGCTCGTTGTCGTACAGTCTGGTGAGCCTGCCCCACGCTGAGCGCTACTGTAATTTGGATCACTTATACTGCGTGCAATTTAGTACAAAAGAAGGACGGGTTTACGATCGACGGACGCCGTGCTTAGGCGGATAATTCGACGTAAGTCGCCATCTTCGCGCATGACTTGTGTGATAAGCAGAAGTGCTAAACATACGTCGAACGTTATAAAGTAACACTGCAGACTGGATTGATAACGTGCGTGTAATTATTCCATGCATCTCGGATCATCTGACGCGCACGTCTCCTTCCTACAAAGTTCTGTGGCGGCATTGCTGAATTTACTTACTCTGGTCGCGCTGCCGGTCCGTGGCATTCATTTCCGACGCTCCACGCATTCTGATTTCTCTCTAAACACACACAGATCGGGAACTCGGTGTATGCCCTAACCAACTGTTCAGCATGGAGTTTCGCTAATCTTGGCTGCACAGGAACTTTGTCTTCAATGTCACCCTCATGAAAACATACTCCAACTTTCTTTTGGCTACGCTCAATGTCAGTGCCACATAAAATGCTCCAGTAATCGCTCACCCGCCTATCCATGTATGCATAGGCACGCTCTGAATGGACCGATGGTCTACAGCATGTAAACGGAAGCATTCTCTTGGGCGATCTGCTGTCAGATTCTCCTGTATGACCAGATTTCTTCTGCTATGTGAAACATCCCTGATCATGCTGCAGCCTCACATACGCCAGATCCAAATACCGCAATCCAAGGTACGTGTCGAATATTGTCGCGGGCTCATACCACGAAGGCTGAACATGCGATACAGGCGTCTTTCATCCGCAACATCGGAAATATACCGCTGAGCTCCACTACTGACTCAGAGACTACCCCAACTTACAATGGGAGCCGCGCACCGAGCATGGTGGATGTTCCGCATCCATACAGTAGTGACGAGACCATCGCATGATCCTATTAATTTAACCGCTTCTGTTTTCAAACTTCACAAGGGCTTGTCGGTGACCAAAATTAGGATGTAGTGATGGACTACTTACATGGAACTAATGCGTACTTACTTAACATTATGTATTTATTGAGCATCCAATTATGAAGTCTGGCTTCCGCGAGGGGCTAGCGCGCTTGTAGCCTTCTCCTCCCGGCCGTCCAGCCACGTTGTACACAAAGGACACCTCTTGGCCTTTGAAAGTCGTTAGAAGGTCAGACAATTTGATGGCGATCCGTGATCTGACCTTTGCGCTGATCTCTTTTCTGCAATAAATACATTTGATGGTATGCTTGATGATCGAATCGTGACTGAGATATCCGTATATATTTGCCAGGAGGTATAGAGTGATTCCTATTCCGAGGAAGTTTACGAGCGCGTCGAGGAAAGCTCTGTCCGATAGGTGATGAGTATTGTCTCTTGAGGGAGCGCGCAGAAAGCACGGGTTACCCGTATGTCAGAATGACAGCCCCGTCTGCGATGGCCTGGGTGCGGGTGTTGTATCCTCCCGGAGGCGTGTAGAGAGGCCCACGGCGCAGGACAACAAATTTTTCCTCCAAATTACGCGACATGAAAGGCAGCAACGAGATGGGTGGCAAGATGATGTCCGAGACAAGAGCAGTAACAACGGAAGTGAACGCGGCTGCGATTCTGGTGTGCACGGAGCAGATCAGTGCACTTGAGCCATGAGAATAAGTAAAACATACGTACATGAGGCCGACTGCGACCTCCAGAACGTTGTCCCGAAGCGCGAAATCTGTAAACCCTGACCACGCGCTTTTGACCCTTCGTCGGACATCGTATTCGGTTTCGCGAAGCAAAGTCACCCGTGGGTCACTAGGATCTGACCAAGTTTCCTCTGTCGACATTATGCGCTTTTACGGAGAAAATTTTGGGTATAGCTATGCTGTAGGCTTCTTCGGGAGAGCGAAAAGATAAGAGTCGATGGGAGAATTGGAGTACGAGAAGCCTATGAGGTCGATTACTGCTTTAGGAAACTTCACAGATGACACGTGTCCCAAAGGAGCCAAACTGCAATTATAACTGTACAGAAAATCCAAAGAAAATCAAGGAAAGGTTCAGAAAACAGGATCAAATTATTCATGAAGAATCTTCAATTTATTGGGCATTGCTTTGCATGGCAGCGTGTCAATATCGAGCTAATATTGTCTCGGGACCAACACATGCGCTTGCCATGCTCACCGATATTCGTTCGCGTCCGTTCTCAAGTACGTATTGCAACTTTCCCGGATGGGTTTACATGTAAGTAGCGTTTCTGACTCAGTTTTTACTCTCAGACGTAAAAACCAAGCAGGTGAAAGAAATATTTATGTGCAAAGGAGACACCACTCTATCCAAACCTGGCCGTCCTCGACACAAAAATGCCGGTGCACCACTTGTGTACCACAGGCCGCAAGGCGCATCGTCCGCGCCGGCTCAAAAAGCCGCAACTGCCACGGTCAAAGCAGCATGGCAGATGCGCACCGGACGGCAGCCAAATCCGTCTGGAAGCGCTGTGGGCTGCGCCTTAGAAAGCGGACTATACCCCCGACCGCGCGACCAGTGGGGTGGCGGCTAGTAAGTACTATATATATACGAGTGGGGTGCATGCGATTCCGGCCAGCCAGGGGGCGTGCGGCTCGCAGCGCGCGGCGCGATTACTTACCGCGACCAGAGCTGGGCGTCGAGCGCATGGACATATCAGTATTGGGAAAGGTTGGGCGCCGACTGTGGGGACATAAATCCTACACCAACACCGCAACGGGTACCTATCTAGCGTTGGCGGTGGAGAGGGCGTGGGGAGGGGATAGAGGACGCGGCGTGCCACTGCGCGGCTGGTGCGTGGCGGCGCTGTAGTGTAGCGGTTATCACTCAAGATTCTGATCCTCCATGATAGTTTGGACTTTGCATTCTTGTAACCCCGGTTCGATTCCGGGCAGTGCCTCTTTTTGCGCCCTCCCGAATCCGCGAGCGGCGAGAGTATGTCCGTTGTAACTTGTTAATGTTTTCATTTTACGGCGAGGCACGGGGCCCGCCGCCCGGGCAGTCTTGGGCGCAAGTCAGGCCTCCTGCGTCTTTCCGATCCTACAGTGTGCACATCGATGGCCGAGAAAAACATACATAGTAATCGCAGGATTGTAGACAAAGAAAGCGCTTGAGCAGGTTCTGACTCTGCGCGAACGAACTTGAAGGCAGGCTGATTCAAGTTGATCGAGCGTGGGAACACACCGATAGCTGAGCACGGTGTCCTATTGTCCTCATCCACCACACCACTTCCTCCTCGCAGGCTTCCCCAAATCTACTACACACACACAGATACGCCATGTCTCTCCCGCCACCGCTCTCCAGCGCCCCGCCGGGACCGTCTCAGTCGCATACACAAGGATACGGCCAAGGACACGGCCAGCTCCCGCCGCCGCCGCACATCGACGGCCTGCTAGCGCAGATCGTTAGCGCGCCGACGCTCGCGGCGCTGAACACGCTGCTCAAGGGCCTGTCTCGCGACGGCGCGGCGGCCGGGGGCGGGGGCGAGGCGCAGCTGCTCGGGTTCTTCTCCGACGGGCGCGACCCGCTCGACGGCGGCGTGCTCGATGTGCGGGTGCACGGCCTGGGTGTGCTGTATATCCTGTGCGTTGGGCTTTCTTTGTGCTTTGCTTTGTGTGGGGCGGCGATGCTGATGCTGATGATATCGGTGGTGTAGAGCTGCGAGGCTGAGCGCGAGCTTCGCGCAGACACCGCCGCCGCCGTGGAGCACGATCACCGAATTCTGCCGCTTCGTGGACCCGAAGCACGCGGCACTCGCGCCGGAGCGAGGTGCGCTGTCTTTCAATGGCGCTCAACACACGCTGACGGCCGCCTCGCAGTGACCCGCATCGCGAAGGGCATCTACCGCCTCGCGCAGACCCTAGGCAACGTGCGTCTCCCCCTTCTATACGCGCTAGGCCACGCTAATATGGCTGTTCTGTTATCTACAGCTGAGCCTGGCGGTGCCCCCGCTATACGACCTTGTCACGCGCCTCCCGCCGAGTGCCGCGCACCTCACGCCCATTCACCCCGTATTCATGCTCGTGCGTCCTTTTTTTATCATTATCCAACTTCATCCAATCCGACCACTAACACCCTTCACACACCAGGCCTGCCTCGCCTCGCGCCAGCTCACCCCCGCGCTCGCCGTCCTCGCGCACCCGCTCACGGACGCAGACACCACGCTCAACCCCGACCTCGCGTACACCGACGCGCTCGCGTACCACTACACCGCGGGCGTCGCGCTCGCTGCTCTGCACCGCTGGCCCGCCGCGGCGTCGGCGCTCGAGATCGCGGTGTGCACGCCGTGCTCCGGAGCGGGCGCCAGTGGCCTTGGTATGGCGCTGGGCCTCGGCGGCGGTATGGGCGGGGGTATGGGCGGCGGCGGCGGGGCGCTGGGCATGGGCGGGGGGCACGCGGCGACGCTGACCCCCACGGGCGCGGGGACGCCCGCGGCGCTCCAGCTCGAGGCGCTCAAGAAGCTCACGCTGGTGCAGCTCATCGGCACCGGCGCCGCGCGCGCGCTGCCGCGGTACGCGCACCCGCTTTTGGCGCGCCTCATGCGCGGCGGGGCGTACGCTGCGCTCGCGGCTGCGTACCCCGACCCTGCTAGGCTAAAAGAGGTCGTCGAGCGCGAGCAGGGCGTGTTTGAGCGGGACCGCAACCTGGGACTGGTGAAAGTCGCGCTGGATAGGGCACCAAGGTGGGTACTGCGGAAGCTCACGGACACGTACGCGACGCTCCATCTGGCCGACGTCGCGCGCGCGGCGGGGCTCGATGGCGAGGACGCGGCAAGGGGGCTGGTGCTCGGCATGGTGCGTCTCTCTCCCCTTGCCTCCTTTTCCTCTTAAATTCTTCGTTTCTCACCCATTTCACGCCGATGCCCACGCAGATCGAGTCGAACGAGATCACAGCACACATATCCGCCTCCGGCACCGTCTCCTTCGCCGACCCGCCGCCGCAATACACCCGCGCGCAGGTGGACGCCGCGCTGCGCGCTGCGCAGACACAGGGCGCGCTGCTTGCGCTCGTGGATCAGGAGGTGGGGAGGGGGCGGGAGTTCCTGAGCAAGGTACGTTGCTTATTTTTCTTTCGGCTTTCGGAAGAATGAAAATGAAATATGGGGTGCTGATGTATTTGTTTTTCGGGCGGCAGGCGGTGAAGACGAGCGACTCGACGTGGGCGCCGAGCGCGGACGAGGAGATATTCGCGGGCTTGGGCGGGGGCGGCGGGATGTGGGAGGAGACGATATACTCGTGAGCGCGCGCGGCGTGCGCGGCGTCGTGCTTTTCCCCCTTTTCCCTTTCCCCCCTTTTTCCCTTTTCACTGTTTTTCTTCGTTTCCTGTGTTATTGACCATCCATCGTCTGCTCCACTCGAAGACACGCTTGTGCTACGTAAATGCATACATACTAGACTACAAAATGCGCTCAAAATCGCGCTGTACAATATCATCCATACTGCGTGTTGCGGCTGTCTCCTCTCTGCGTACTGGCAAGCAAGTACGCGTCTAAGCAGTTCGTATCAGATTAGCTGGTTTGATATGCGTCATCGTTACCAAAGCAATCCATCGCAAGAGAATGCCGCATTGACTTCCCACCGTGCAAGCACTCTCCGAACTGACCAGCAGACACGCACACAACCATCAGAGCAAAATCGGTGTATTTATTGGGCATATATATGTACTTATGGGTGGCATGTGCGCGGAGCATACCACACCGGCGCCCTAGCAGCGCCTTCGAGTGCGAACGGAGACCAGGATCAGGACCAAGACCGAGATCAAGATGATATGAGGGGAGGAGATGAGGTGAGATGAGATGAGATGAGATGCCCGCGCCGGCGCCTGTGCGGTGCGCGAGAGGTGCGGACGTGCGTTCTGCTATATACATGTATTTAAGGTTCGTGTTGCGTATCTGTGGGCCTGCGCTGCAGACGGTGGAGGCGCGGCGAGTGGGTGGCCGTCATGGTATGCATGGTGTGGGGCTTTCTGGGTTTTTTCTAGAGTTTTTTGTTTTGTTTTTGAAGATTTACATATTTTGTAGCAGACCAGGCAGTCGACGGAGCACAGCACAGGCGCGTCGACCGGCGGCGCTGACTGGCTGGCGAGGCGGGTTGAAGAGGGTGGGTGACGCGCGTGGCAGGTAGATGCAAGATAAGGTGTCGCAGGAGGTGTCGCAGGGGGTGTTGCAGGTTGGAACAAAGGAGTGGTGGGTAGCGCCGAAGACGACAAAACGAGGTGGGTACAAGAGCAGGACAAGCGGGAGAGCGGGTAGCGCGGGGGCGGCGCACGCTGTATTAGCAAACAGCGGCGAGTGGAGGGACGGGCACAGGGTCCGGGCGGGTGGTGATCACGCGGATCACAGCGCAAGCGGCTCGCCCGCGGACACGAGCTCCTCGCCGAGCGTGCGCTTCCCGAACGCGAGCTTCCTCGGGCGCAAATCCGCCGCATCGAGCTCGTCGCCGCTGAGCGACGGCGACCGTGCGCGCCTAACCTTCGTCTTCGCACCGCCCTTTGCCTTGGCGCCGCCCAGCATAGTCGCCGCAGCGGTGGCGCCGGAGGCTGATTTGCCCTTCGCCCTGGCCGCACGCCGCGCGGCGGGGAACAGCATCTTCGGCGTGCAGTTGATCGCAGGCGAGTACTCCGGGTCCTCGATCGGGAGCAGCGAGGCAGCCGGCGGGGAGCGCGCGCGCCCCGCCCCGTGGTCGTATAGGGGGTTCTGGTACACGCGGCGCACGCCGCGGCTGCAGACGACATCAAGCCAACCATCAGCTCATGGCACAGTAAAGAAAAGGGAACGAAACGCACAAGACGTAGGTCATCGTCGGCTTCTCGCCCATCGTCGGCGTCTTCGGGCTGACAGTCGAGCTGCCAGCGATAGGGCTGGGCGTCGCGCTGTCCGTCGCGGGGTCCGCCGGCGATGCGAGGAATGGGTTCGCAGGCGAGTCGCGTAGCGCCCGGCGTGCCGCCGCGCGCGTGCGTGGTGGCTCGGGCGTCACCGGAGCGATGGCCACCGCGCGGCGGTGCGAGGGAGGCGGCGACACGGGTGCCACCTCACCGCTCTGCCCTTGCGCCTTCTTGCGGTACAGCAGCGGCGGCGGCGCCACCGGGGCCTGCGCCTTCGCACTCCGCGTGGCAGCTCCACCAGCCGTCGTCGTCGTCGTCGTTGTCGATGGGCCGTCCGTCGCGCCGCTGAGCCAGAACGCGTCCTCGTCGGCGGCCGCCGCTGCGGGGCCCGTGCGCCGCTTCTTCGCGCGGTGCGCGTCCTCGTCTGCTTCCTCGTCCGTTGTAACCACTACGTCTTCATGGTCGTCCGCGTGGTCGTCGCTGTCGCTATCGCACGATCCGCGCGAGCGCCCGCGCGCGTGCCGTCGGTGCGTCCGTGGCGGGGTGGGCATCGACGCGAGCGATGCGGCCGATGCGGAGCGCTTCAGCGGCCGGCGCGTGATGGGGGCTGGAGATGAGTCGAGCATGTCTACGTTGTGGGCGGGGGTTATTAGGGGGGCTTTATGGTTGGGAAAAGGTTTGAGGGTTGCGCGGTGGTGGTAGGAAGCAAGCGGACAATGGACGCACAAACAGGAACAATAGCCGTGGCCTTCTAATAAGCGCAAACAAGAATTGCCTTTTTGGGACGGTGGCCCGCCCCTCCATCGTAGCGTCATCGGCACTGCACGATGGCCACAGCGTAGGTCAAGGCTTCCTTCGATGTCTCGTGGGTAGAGCTCCGAGAATTTTTCCATTGGTATATCTGGAAATTATACACAGAAAATCAGCTCTTTTTCAATCCCACGTCCTTCCTTGAAATCATACTTCGCTCCAGATTCACTCTCCAATCGAATTTATATATTACAGTACAAAAAACTTGCATAGCTACAAGGAAGCCAGAAACGATTCTAAACCCTCGCGGGCGAGCCATCGTGGTAC